GTAGAGGAGGGCCACCTACCCAAGTTGGTCGTGGGGGATATGGTGGTGGTCGTGGAAGTGGTGGTATGGGTGGTCGTGGAAGCAGTGGTATGGGTGGTCGTGGGAGTGGTGGTATGGGTGGTGGGCCTGGTGGTCGTGGGGGAGGACCTTCTTCAGGTGGACCATCTAGACAACCAAATCCCGAGCTGCACCAAGCAACCCTGCCTCCTTATCAAGCAGTGACACCCTCTCAGCCTTCACCGTCTGTAGCAAGTTCTTCATCCACTCCAGCTGACATAACACAACATGTTCAGCAGCTTAGTATTCATCAAGAAGCTGCTTCTGGGCAGGAAATTCAACCAGCTCCTCCATCGAGCAAATCTATGAGATTCCCTCTTCGTCCTGGGAAGGGTAGCTATGGCACAAAGTGCATTGTCAAGGCAAATCACTTCTTTGCTGAACTACCAGACAAAGATTTGCACCAGTATGATGTGAGTTGTACTGTTGCTATTTTCCTTTGGACTGTTGTTTACCTTCTATTTCAGTTCAAGTTTGTAATTGCTACCATTAATACTATAATATAGGTCACCATAACACCAGAAGTAACATCAAGAGTTGTTAACCGTGCTGTCATGGAGAAGCTAGTGCAATTATATAGAGAGTCCCATCTGGGAAGGCGCCTTCCTGCCTATGATGGGCGAAAAAGTCTCTATACTGCAGGGCCTCTTCCTTTCTCAACCAAGGAGTTTAGGATCCCCCTTGCTGATGAAGATGATGGATCGGGTGCACAAAGGTTTTTATTTGACTTCAGTATTTTAATTCATGTTTGGAATTAAAAAAAATTTAAATTTCGCTTTTCAAATTAAATTTTGTTTTTAAAAGTAGTCTTTCACTTTTCCTTTAACTGGTTGTATTGTTTAATGAGTTTTTTTGGTTTTGCACGTAAAAGACTCTCTGAAGTAGTGAGCAAGATATTATACTAAATTAGAACTAATAAATGATTGTAGTTTGCCTTCTATATTCCATACCTAATCCTTTTTTGATGCAGAAAGGAGCGGGAATTTAAAGTCATTATTAAATTTGCTGCACGTGCTGACCTGCACCATCTAGGACTCTTTCTACAAGGGAGGCAAGCTGATGCACCTCAGGAAGCTCTGCAGGTTCTCGACATTGTTCTTCGAGAGTTGCCTACTACTAGGTAAAGTCTTCTTGTGATATTTACAGTAACCTTATCATCTGCATATTCCTTTTCTGTATTGTTGAAGACTAAATTCTGATTTGATCATAGGTACTGTCCTGTGGGCCGCTCATTTTACTCTCCTAATCTAGGTAGAAGACAGTCTTTGGGTGAGGGTTTAGAAAGCTGGAGAGGTTTTTACCAAAGCATTCGCCCAACACAGATGGGGCTTTCACTGAATATTGGTAATTGTTACTCTTCATGTATTTTTGGGACTAAAACTCTGTGGAAGATGAATTGTATCTAATGGTAGTGGTCAACTTAACTTGCGTGGTTGGTTCATTTTTTTTGTTCTTTGCATGTGTATGTGAGTTCAATGTGTGACTGTGTTATGCTATGTGTTATGCATTCATAAAACAATTCTCTTATTTTGACTGTTATCTGCATGCGTGAATGTATGTTGCAGGTGCATGATTTTGTGAACTTGTCTGTGCATGCCATTCCTTGTTTAGTTGGCCTTTAATTTGGTAATTATTTTGTTCTGCAGACATGTCTTCCACTGCTTTCATTGAGCCATTGCCTGTGATTGAATTTGTAGCCGAGTTGCTAAATCGGGATGTTTCCTCGAGACCATTGTCTGATGCTGATCGTGTAAAAGTAAGTTTTTTTTTTTCCCCGTATTTCCATTATTCCTTTCTGCTGTATATTGATCCAACTGTCTTTTTTTTTTTAATATCTGATCTTATTTGATGAAATGCATTTTTTCAGCAGGCATTATAGTTGCTTCTCTAATGGAGTCTACTTTTAATATATTGTGCACTCTAACATGATTACCTTGTTATGTTTAGATCAAAAAGGCTCTTAGAGGAGTCAAAGTTGAAGTTACACACCGTGGCAATATGCGTAGGAAATACCGAATATCTGGTTTAACTTCACAGGCAACAAGGGAGCTAACGTTAGTTTTATTATTCTTCAAAGTTATATTTTTTTATTGATTATAAAGTTTTATGCCTTTTTTGGTTAAAATGCGATGTGGTGTAACTGAAAATTTTTTTTTTTTTTTTTTTTTTTTGGGTCATAGTTTCCCTGTTGATGATATAGGTACCATGAAATCTGTTGTTGAGTACTTTTATGAAACATATGGTTTCACCATTAAGCACACTCAGTTTCCATGCTTACAAGTGGGCAGTCAGAACAGACCAAATTATTTGCCAATGGAAGTTAGTTGTCTAATTCCCTTCTCTCTAGTTTCTTGGCATTCTCATGAAGTGTATGGATATGTGTGCTAACAAGTTTTGATTTAATATAGGTTTGCAAGATTGTTGAGGGTCAGAGGTACTCGAAGAGATTGAATGAGAGACAGATCACTGCACTGTTGAAGGTGACCTGTCAACGGCCTCATGAAAGGGAAACTGATATCCTGCAGGTCTGTGAGCTAGTTTCTAGTTGTATGTTTGTGTGTTTGTTAATTCAGTAATGTGCTCTTGCCCCTGATTCATATTTTCATAATGCTCACCTATCTTTACCTTTCATGATCTTCTCTTCTGTGGTCATCCTATGAGCTGTTCTATGCAGTAGAGGTCAATTGAATGTGTTGAATGCAGTAATATTAGGCTCTGTAATTTCCTGCTTTTACTATCATGAATAGTTGATTCCTTCTATTGGCTCTTTTGCAGACTGTTCGTCACAATGCTTATTATGAGGATCGTTATGCCAAGGAATTTGGAATTAAGATCAGTGAGAAGCTTGCTTCGGTTGAGGCACGCATTTTGCCAGCACCATGGGTAGAACATCTTTATTTATTTTTCCCATTACTTCAATGTCAATTTTAATTCTGTAATTGTTAGTGTATTGACTTCTGTGTACTGCTTGTGTTAGCTTAAATATCATGATACAGGTAGAGAAAAAGATGTCCTGCCTCAAGTTGGACAATGGAATATGATGAACAAGGTACTCTGTGCTATTCTGTACCATACTTGGGTTTAGTATTTGTTACATGAACAGGGGAGATCATGTCTGGACAGGCATTGTGTTAACATTATAGTTTTGATTCTATTTATTTAATTGAAGATACATTGTGTTGTGTGCCATATGTTGTGTTAAAAATTGTCTTTGCTTTTTGTGTTTCCTCTTGCTTGTAATTTTTTTTTCCATTTATCCTTGTGTCATTGTTCCTGTTTCAACTTTCATAGATGGAAGGTGTGATTGTTATATGCTCTTATGTCCCGCCAAAATATGAGTGTCTGGATGTGAAGTCTACTAGCATAGGAACCTTCTACAGCCTTTTCTTTCTTCTTGTTTGTTACTATGATGGGTAGGTGGAGAGGGCTCTTGTCCCCAGTGCGTTAGCCCGCCAAATTCCTATGCTTTGTATACATGGCTATGTAATATGTTATAATCTAAGATGATATCCTCCAAATTGTTATTTAGACATCCTTGACTTATGTTTATGCAATATCAAAAATCTCTAATATTTCCTAATAGCAATCATTTTGTTTCAGAAAATGGTTAATGGAGGAACTGTTAACCATTGGATATGCATAAACTTCTCTTGTCATGTTCAAGATACTGTGGCCAAAGCGTTCTGTAATGAACTGGCTCAAATGTGTTGTGTTTCTGGCATGGTAAGGTTTCTGTTTTGGTGTGATGAATCATGGCAGCGTAGTTGAATCTTGTTTTGTTGATTTATCCATTTGCTTTTTCTCAATATTGTGCTATTGGTAATTTTCAGGCATTTAATCCAAATCCAGTTCTTCCTATCATCAGTGCTCGTCCGGATCAGGTTGAAAGGGCCTTAAAAACTAGGTATCATGATGCCATGACCAAGCTACAGTCTGAGAAGAGGGGGCTTGACTTGCTTATTGTCATTCTTCCAGATAATAATGGCACTCTCTATGGTAAACAACATGAATCCAGTACTCTGGATGTTTGTAATTTCTTTGTAATTTTATTGTATTTGGTGTTTTGACTGACTGGCTAGTTTGCATTGCCTTTCATGAATTTCTTTTTTTAATTTCACTTGCAGGTGACTTGAAACGGATTTGTGAGACAGATCTTGGAATTGTTTCCCAATGCTGTTTGACTAAACATGTGTTCAAGATGAGTAAGCAGTACTTGGCCAATGTGGCGTTGAAAATTAATGTGAAAGTTGGAGGAAGAAATACTGTGCTTCTTGATGCATTATCGAGACGTATACCTTTCGTTAGTGACAGGCCTACTATAATTTTTGGTGCTGATGTTACCCATCCTCACCCTGGAGATGATTCTGGCCCGTCCATTGCTGCTGTATGTTATATGAGATCTCTTTCCTTCTTTTCTTCTTGATTGTGTAAAATGCTATAGTTGGTTGATTTCATTTTTAATTTAAATAATAAACCAAAGGTACTAAGTGTTTTTTCTTCAGGTTGTGGCTTCCCAAGATTGGCCAGAGATTACAAAATATGCTGGTCTGGTTTGTGCTCAAGCTCATTGCCAGGAGCTCATTCAGGATTTGTCCAAGACATGGCAGGATCCTGTAAGAGGGACAGTTGCTGGTGGCATGATTACGTATGACCTTCTTTCTAATTTTTTTTTTCTTCAAATTGGGTTTCCATGAGGCTTTTGGTTGCAGTTATCAAGTGTTTTTAAGAAAGTAGATAGTTATTCTTTAGGACAAATGAGTTCTATGGATGACCTTAATGCATGCTTGTTTGATTGTTTTTGTTGTCCAGGGAGCT